TAAGGTGCTGTTGAAACTAATCCAACCATCCCGGAGAACAATTTGGAACTGTATCCAAATGGCTATAAAACTATGCGTACTCTTTGATTCAGCAATACCATGACTAGGTCTGTATCCCAAAGACAAAAAAAGTGGTGGTGGGGAGGACCTATGTGTACAAAAATATTTATAGCAGCTCTTTTTGTTTTGGCAAATTAGCAATGAAGGGGATGTTCATCAATTGGGGAATGGCTGGACAAACTCTGATATATAATTGTGACAGAATACTATTGTGCTAAAAGAAATGATGAACAGGATGATTTCAGAAAAACCTGGAAAGACTTCTGTGAACTCATGCAAAGGGAGGTGAGCAGAACTGGAAGAACATTGTACACAGCAACAGCAATACTGTATAATGATCAAGTGCAAAAGATTTAGCCACTCTGATCCAAAGAACCCATCATGGAAAATGCTATCTACCTCCAGAGAGAGAACTGAGAAACTCTGAAGGAAGATAGATGCATACTTTTTAAAACTTTATTTTTATTATGGTTTTTGTGTGTGTTTTCTTTTGCAACATGGCTAATATGGAAATATGGTTTGCATCACCTCATATGCATAATCAAAATCAAAGTGCTTTACTTCTCAAGGAGAGGGGTGGGGTAGAAGCGAGGGAACTCAAAAGTTTAAAAAAAATGATTGTTGGGGCAGCTAGGTGGTGCAGTGGACAGAGCACTGGCCCTGGAGTCAGGGGGACCTGAGTTCAAATCTAGCCTCAGACACATAACACTTACTAGCTGTGTGACCCTGGGCAAGTCACTTAACCCCATTGCCTAGCCAAAAAAAAAAATGTTTGTTAAATTTGTTTTTACATTTAATTGATAACAAAAAATGTTTTGAAATATATTTTAGAGTGTTTAATGTTTAAAAAAAACCTCTCAGGTGACCCTTCCTCCTCCTGAAGGCATCTACTCATCCCTTCAGTTGTCAGTGCTATCGCCTTGGGGTGTAGGAGTGTTCAGAGAGGACTAGTGCCTCCTGCGTGAGGGCTGCTCATCTACCTTTGGTGTCCACCTGATTCACCCAGCTCTCACCTGTGACTCCAAGAAGCTGTAGCATGCGAAGTGGGCACTCCTCAGTAAATCATTTCAGCAGATAGGCTAACCCAGGTTGGGGGTAACTGAGGGGTCACAAACCTCTCCGTGAGTTGGGGGAGGGGTGTCTACCCCAAGCATGTGAAGACTTCCCTGGCAAGATGGGAGGTTGAGAACAATCTGTTCTAACGGCAATGAAGGCAGCTGAAACAGACATTGTGGAGTGCTTAGAGCTTGATGAGACATCAAAGTCACCAAGGTCATCTACTGCATCCAGAGCACTGCCAGTCATCTTGACTTTGTCTTGCCACTGGATTCCAATGACTCTGGAAGGAGAGTGAAGCTTATGACTCCACACAACTCTTCCTCACTTAGATCCAATTTATGTACAAATCAAAAGATATCACCGATTCCATTTTACCATTTTTACCTACTTCAGATCCTATGGTGACAGACAAGTGGCAAAGCAGCAGGTGAAGACACACTAGATACAAGTTGGTGGTTTTTTTCTGGAGTGGTTACAGTGATGGAGAGTGCTGTGAAGCTGGCATAGGTTTTGCAATCAAAACTAATCTAGTCACCAAGCTTGAATGCCTCCCAAAAGGAGTAAACAAGAGGCTCATGACAATGTGATTGCCACTTGCAGGAAAGCAACATGCCATCATCATCAGTGCATATGCTCCCTGATGAGGTCAAAGAAAAAACTTTATGAAGATCTAGAAATCCTCACCACCAATGTGCTGAAAGAAGACAAGCTTGTAATTCTGGGTGACTTTAACTTTAGAGGAGGCACAGATTATCAGACATGTCAGGGAGTCCTTGGGAGGAATGGAGTCAGAAACAGCAATGGTCACTTATTACTGAAGACTAGTGCATCTCATGACTTTCTCATCACCAACACTGTCTTCCATTTACCTAAATGCAATAAAATTTCATGGTGGTACCCTCACGGCAAACATTGACATTTAACAGACTACGTCATTGTAAAGAGAAGAAACAGACAGGATGTGAAAGTGATGACGGCAATGTGTGGTTCAGAATGCTGGACTGATCATAGACTTATCCTCTCTAAACTAAATACTCACATTCAAGGAAAGCAACAGTCCCATGGCAAAATGACTACCAGAACTCTTAATGTCAACTGATTAGAGTACTTCTAGCACAAACAGTTCATTCCTAATTTGGAGTGAAAGCTGAGCCAACACAGGGTCAGTAAGAGTGGGCAGCTTTCAGAGATTTGGTGTTCAGCATTGTATTTACTCATGTAGGCCAGAACACTGGCAAACTTCAAGACTGGTTTGACCAAAACGATGGGGAAATTTAGACGCTGCTACATGAAAAACGAGAACTCTACAGGGTTTACAAGCAGAATAGTTTGTCAGTCTCTAAGAAGGCAGCATTTAACTCCATCAAAAGTAAGTGCAAGTGAAGTTTCGAGAGATACAGGATCCTTGGCTCAGTAAGAAGGCAGATGAAATTCAGTTTTATCCTGAAGGCTATTTATGGGCCAAAGACCTTTGGTGCAGCTCACTGCTGATGGAGCCACATTGATTAGTGAAAAGGACATTATCCTGGAAAGCTGGACTGAACACTTCCATAGGGTTCTCAGCAAACATCATCAATCAATGCTGAGCCATTGACCATATACCTCAGGTTGAAGTCAATCCCTCTCTAGCCAAACTTCTAACTGAAGAAGAGGTTTTGAATGTCATTAGGTTCCTCTGATGTGGCAAAGTGCCAGGTGCTAATTCCATTCCAGCTGAGATTTACAAGACAAGACTCCTAGAAAAGCTGACTGAAATTTTCCAGGTTATATGGCAAGAGGTGGTTATTCCCCAAGAGTTCAAGGATGCTTCCATTATCTGTCTCTATAAAGGAAAAGGAAATAGGTTGTCCTGTGACAATCACAGGGCAGGGGTCTCTCTTTTAGTCATCGCTGGCAAGACTCTTGCCATAGTCTTTTTTAACAGGCTGATCCTTCACCTGGAAGATAATCATCCCAAGAGCCAATATGGCTTCAGAAAGGATTGATACGGTGTTTGCTGCCTGACAACTCCAGGAGGAATGCCAGGAACGGAACAGATGTCTGTACACAATATTCATCGATCTAACCAAGGCCTTTGATACTGTCAATCATGAGGGCTTAGGGAAAGTCATGGCAAAATTTAGTTGCCCAGAGAAGTTCATCAGTATTATACAACAGTTGCATTAAACACTTGCTTTGTGCAAAAGCACTTTATTAAACTTTAGGGGTATTAAAATGAAGAATTGATCCATTTCACACCCTCAAGGATCTCCCAGTGTGTGATGATACTTTCAATCCCCTCTCCTACTTTGACTGGAGTTAGCCAGTTCACTAAGGTTAGACACAGACATGGCCAAAGGACACTGATTTGCCCATTGCTGATTGGTTGAAAGTGAGTCTGAAATTGGAAGAATAAACCAGTAATGATGGGGTGGAAGAGCATTTTGAAAGGGAAGAGACCATTTTTGTCTGGACTCAAGAAGAAATCAGACATACTGGCTCGCAGTAGGAGGGCTCAGGATAAACATGGCCACACTAGCAAGAACCCACCGCTCCTGCTCTGACCCTCTGTATTAAGGAGCCCTCTTTGACTCAGGAGAACAGTTATTCCTTCCCTAGTATGAGTATTCCCTCCAGATCACATCCCCTCTACAGCATAATAGATGGACTTTGAGAAGTATTAAATCTTTTTTTTGGGGGGGGGGCTAGGCAATGGGGTTAAGTGACTTGCCCAGGGTCACACAGCTAGTAAGTGTTACGTGTCTGAGGCTGTAACACTGAGGTGTTAGGGGCTGCGCAGCACTTATAATTTGTTTCACAGGTTCGGATCTGTACCCACAAAGACACATTCACACTTTTCCTAACTTATAAATGATTTAATAATGATAATAAACGTAAACATACATGTACATTAATGTGATTACATGTGATTATACGATCTTAGATGCAAAGACTATTAACAGAGAGATAAAGAAGAAATACCTCACCAATCTGAGAAAGGACCAACTCCTGAACATCTGGCTGGGGGAGTCCTGTATCACAGCCCTCAGAGTCTGGGTTGGGAAAGTCCCTACCGCAGAGACTCCTCTCCGAGGGAGACTCCCAAAGTCACTTTCCCAAGAAAGATCCTTTTTATCATCCTTACACAAAGAAGGCAGGGAGCCAGGGAACAGGTGATTAATCCTAAGGACCTGAAAGTTTTGGTCGAAACTCTCCGACTTCAAGAACAATCTTTGTTGCATCAAAAACGTCTCCAGGCAATACCCAAGAACTGGCCAAGTCCCTGGATGTTTACCTCAAGATCTGTTTTTAAGGAATAATTCCCCAAGGTGAGTTTGGGATGAAACAAATCTCAGAACAATATGTTAGGGAAGTTCCTTGTGTCTTGCCCTGGGCTGTGGGTAGGGAAGATCTTATACATTAACCCTTCAGAGGTAAGATTTGAACTCAGATCCTCCTGAATCCAGGGCCGGTGCTCTATGCACTGTGCCACCCAGCTTCCCGCCAGAAGTACTAAATCTTTAAAAAGAAAAAATCACCCTGAGGCTATTCTGACTGTTAGCGAGAAGCCTCGTCTAACTCAGCAATTGTTGTGGAATAACAGGACAGTGTGAGAAGCCTACCTTTCCTGAACTAAGCGTGGCTTTTACCTCACGATGAAGCATTGTAGAAAGACTAGGAGGAGGAGGATTCCTTAACTCTGTTTAATGTCTCAAAATGGATTAGAAGCCTAGTAGCAGGTTAGCACAAGCGAGAACCCTCTATACTACATCTGTCCTTCCCCGAGGAAGAAAACTACAATTCCCAAAAGCCTTCCAAACCTGGGGACATGTCTCAGAGGTCGTAATCGGCTGCCCCGATACTCCTCCCCCTCTCTGCTATTGGTCAGAGTCGGTAGAAGGGATGGAGCCAGGGTAGTTCCAGACGGGTAGACTTCAGCGTCTGGACGTTGGAGTCCAAATTTCAGCAAGCAGTTGGGTGCTGGACCCGCGTGGGGATGGCCCATCGGAATGTGGCTGCCAAGGCGGGCCTCTCTGCGGGACTCCGGGCACTGGCGGTGGGGGTGATGGGCACAGTGCTAGCTCTAGTGGCTGTGCTGCTGCTCCGGACCGCCACTTTCCCGCGTCTGGACGAGCTGCACGGCTGGGGGCGCCCAGGAGCGTTCAGGATCCCTGCCCAGTTCAGCGAAGCAGAACTAAAGGCAGTGAAAGAGGCGTTGAAAGGTGACCTCCCCCCCCCCCCGTCCCGTGCCCTTCGGGCACTCATCTGCCAAGACCGGGGTGCCCCCAGTTTTATGACCCGAGATTTCCTGGCCTTGCTACGTGTAGACAGATCCCATCCCCCTTCTCTGGCCCCAAGACCTGCTTCCCTTGGGTCTCCAACTGTTTCTCACCGACTCCCTGGAAATCTTCCTTATCCCCCCCCCCCACTCTCTGGGCATCCCATTTGCCCCTCTTCCCTGAGAATAGTAGTAGTGTTAGTAATAACAATTGAATTTACAAGCATTAATCAATTGCTTTGTGCAAAAGCACTTTATTAAACTTTAGGGGCATTAAAATGAAAAACTGGTCTATTCTATGCCCTCAAGGATCTCCCAGTCTGCTATAGGGAAGGAAGGAGAAAGGAATGGGGGAAAAGAAAAATATAACCTATGCACAAATAATTATTATACAAACAATGTGGTAGTGGTAAGGGAAAGATCCAAAAACCTTGAAAAGTTAATAATTCTTTGATCTCCGCAAGAGAGAAGTAACCCTTTCATCCTTGTATGTCTCTACCCACTTTGACTTCTAGTCTCCTAGTCATTTCCTAGCTTGTACATATTTGTGTACCAATCTCACACCCTCTACCAATTGTAATCTTCTTAAGGGCAGAGATTGTTCATTTTCCTTGTTGTATGGCTAGTCCTCATCTTGCTTTGTCATTAATAATTTACATTTGTGTATTTTTTTTAAAGACTCAAAATTGGACCACAGTTCAAATCTGGCCTTAGACATTTACTAGCTTTGTGATCACAGGCAAGTCACTAACCCAGATTACCTCCCCCAAAAGACTCAGAATTGTTATTTGATTTTTTTTCCCTACCAACTGTGTAAGGAAGTTGGCCCAAATATCTGGGTTATCATTTATCCCTATTTTGTACAAAAAGGTAGATAATTTGCTCAGGGCTACGTAAAACCAAACTTGAATCCCCTTCTCATCTTGGAACTCTTTTCACAGTACAATGCTGCTTACTAAACTCCAGCTTCTTCTGATGCCCAGGCATCTCCTTGTATCAGTAAAATAAGCCACCTCAGCCAAAGGACTTCTGGTCCCTTTTTGACTAGCTCTTCCCTGCTGGACTCCAACCTGCATATTGCTCTCTCAGCCTTTGCTCCACACTCCTCCCCCCAGTGCCTGGCCATTCTGTCTCCTGCCACTACCCCCCCCTTCAGGTATCATCCTTAAATATCACCTTTTGTTATTAAGGAACTGGGCAGGAATCTGGGATACCCCTTGTCCACAGTCCCTTCTTTCTTTCCGAAGATGTCAGATTCCCATAGTATGGCATGGCATGGCATGACTCTCCTAGGTAGATAAAAGTTATGAAGCTGGTTGGGGTAAGAGAGGAATGATGTCAGTGGGGAAGAGAAAGTAGTGTTTGCCCCACATCCTCTTCTCTTGGAAAGGGTCCCAGACTGCTATAACCACTAGAAACTAGCTATAAAGAGCATATTTGGCAGGGAGAAGCATACAATAATGCTTCAAAATTCCCAGTAACCCTACTCCATAGGGAAGTTTCTATCTGGGCCCCTAACCATGCTCTCAAAATCTCAAATCTCAAAGTTGGATGACACCTCAAAGACAACCTCATTCAATGCATATTTCAACAAAAACCAATTCTTGGTACCAACATAACCAGCCAGTGACTCTCTAGTTGGTACAGGAAAATCTTGATGTGGAAACAATCTGCTACCTCCCAAGCAGCTCATTCCACCTTTGCATAGCTCTCATTGTTAGGAAGTTTTATTTGAAGCCTAAATGTGTCTTTTGGCAACTTCCACCCATTGCTTCTAGTTTTGTCCTTCATTTTGCCTTCATAGAATTCCTTAGTTCTAGTATCATAAGGAGATGTGTGGTCCTAGAACCATTCAACTTAATTCTAAAAAAGGGTTGAAGTTGAAAAAAAGTGGATGTCCTTGGCTAGAACTAAGTCTGTAATGGCTCTCAGCATCCTTCCACTCTAATGCAAGATTTGCAGAGAGAGAAAGGACGAACCTAAGATTGTATCTGCTATAGAATTCAGTTAGAATTCTGGAATTCTGTATTTTTTATTAACCAAGGAAAGCAAAGCTCTCCAGGCTCCCCCAAAAAGATTAAACCAGACAGTGGCAGGAAAATTTCAAAAAATGTTTCAAAAAATGGGATAGCTGAGCTGGGCACAGAAATAGCATACATTTCTATAATGCTTTTAAAGTGTATCAAGTAGATTCCTTACAACAATTCTGGGAGGCAAATAGTATGGGTATTACCATTCCTATTTTAGAATGAAGAAACTAGGTCTCAGAGAACCAAAATAACTTGGATAGGGTCACAGCTAATATCAGAGTCTGAATTTGATTTCAAGTCTCAACACAGAGACTAGTGTGTTTTTTACTTTAGGTTAGGCAGCTTGGTATAGTGGAAAGTCCACTGGTTCAGTAGCCAAAAGACCTGTTCAAATACCACCTCTGACACTTACTGGCTATATGACATTGCGTAAGTTACTTAACCTCCCTGACCTCAATTTCCTCATCTGTAAAATGAAAGTAGGACCAGCTGGCCTCCAAGAACCAGCTCTGCATCTGTGATCCACTATGTTGTTGACATTGGTCAGTCCTTTTTCAGCCGTGTCTGACTCTTTGTGTCCCCATTTGGGATTTTTTTGATGAAGATACTAGAGGGGGGATAAGTGACTTACCCAGGATCACACAGCTAGTAAGGGTCTGAGGCCAGATTTGTACTCATGAAAATGAGTCTTCTTGACTCCAGAGCTGGCACTCTATCCATTGCTCTATCTATCTATCTATCTATCTATCTATCTATCTATCTATCTATCTATCTATCTGTCTATCTACCTATGTAGTGATCTCTACAATATCACTATTTTGTGTATGTACATATACATATATGTGTGTATATATGTATACATACACACAGAGATGCGACGTAACACATTGCTAATGTTAATGAAAGACAATTGCTTGGCACAGACATCTGCTGATTTTTGGTTTACCAAGTAGTCTAGTGGGTCCTGGGCTGTTTAATTTGGATGCCAAATTAAGAATAAAGTAGGAAAAATAAGGTTAGCTCTTCCTCCTCAGGTGAGTGGGTTGTGAGGGTGCAGTGGATAGGATATGAAAAAAGCATAGGTAGAAGGATCATTCCTATGATGACTGGATGGCCATTTGCTGAATATGTGGTAGAAGTGATCTTTGGTAAAATATGGGTTGAATGAGGTGGCCTTTGAGGTCCCTTCCAACTTCGAGATTTAAGATTTTTGAGAGGGACCATTTAATTAAATGATTGCTTCTGTGCAGAAGCTACTTGCCTGGAAGATGGGATGCTCCACACGTGGCTGGGCAGCCTCCCTGTCAAATAGCCCATCTGCCAGATACACCTCTTAATTCTGTGCAACCAGACTTCGTGAGAACTTGGTAGATAGTCTGGGTGGAGGTTGAGGGATGAACTGATAACAAGGGGTCAGGGTCTAAGATCATGGGCCTGCCTTTTGAAATCTTCGATGACAGAGCTTAATAAAATGAAGCCATTTTGTAATCAAAGGACAATAATCCAGCCTTCCAGTTTATGGATTACACCGAGAAGGGAAACTAGGTGGAGGAAGAGGGAGGGACCTGATTAATTTGGACTTTGGATTTTTCTATTATCCTCAGTCTCAAGAATGAATTAACAAAAAAAATGAGGCAGCTAGGTGTTGAAGTAAGTAGAATGGGCACCATTCTTCCTAGACAATGTCTGAAAATTGAAGTGGTGGGGACTTGGAAAATTGTACCAGAAACTTTCAATCTTCATTGGGGTTGAAACACATGCGGTTTGACTTATCAGAAAATAAATATTTGTTATGATGGTCAGTGAATTTTATGGAATTAACAATATGCTTATTTATAAAAAGTCACATTATGAAGTATACTAATTCTCACACCCTTTGACCCAACAATACCACTACTAGGTCTATACTCTAGGGATAGAGAAAAAAGGAAAAGGACCCCTATGTACAAAAATATTTGTAGCAGTTCTTTTGTGGTGGCAAAGAATTGGAAACTGAGAGGATGTCCATCAATTGGAGAATGGCGAACAAGTTATAGTATATGAATGTGATGTTATGTGGTTATATATGTATAACTGTTGAGGCTTAGAGGTTTAGGGGTATTAGGACCCCAAAATCATGGGTCCTGTCCAAATGAATTCGACCCAAGCTTTCTTTCAGCCAAAGACAAGGTTTATTAAAGATCCATCATATTGACCAGGCTCCTAAGGAATCTGAACATTTGTGATCTATTGGCTAGATTATAAGAATCTGAGCCTTGGCTAGACTTTAAGAATCTCAGCCGTTGGCTAGATCTTAAGAATCTGAGCATCTTAATGGAGTCAAAATGGGCCTTATATACAGAAAGACTGTGGGAAGGATCCAGGAGTAGCCAAGTAGTCTGGGGTGGCTGGAGGAGGGGTCTAAGGAGGATCTGGGAAAATGGAGTCTAGGTAGAATTAAGGGTGGGAAGTGGCCAGGGGCAATTGGGAGGTAACAGAACAGAATTGGGAGATTGGGCATAGCAACAATGAAAGGCCAGTTGAATGGATTACAGCCTCAGGCAAATGCCAGAGATTTGGGAAAAGTCCAGGTATTTTCTTTTTTGGGGTCCAGATCCCAAAGATGCGGTCTTTTCCTTTTAGGGGTTCAGATCCCATCCCCATCATGTTAACTATAGTATTTCTTGCCTTAATTGGTAGGAGAGGAGGTTGAGGGAGGGTGAGAATGTGAAACTAAAAATAAAAATTAAATTTATTTTTTAATTTTATTTTTTTGTTGCATTTTAAGTTCCAATTGTTTCCCTCCCTACTTCCCTCCCTAGAAGCCACCATTTGACACAGATATGTACACACACAGACACACACACACACACACACACACAACTATGCATACTTCTGTTTAATTAGTTCTTTCTCTGAAGGTGAATAGCATCTT